ATTTAATTTAATTTAATTTAATTTAATTAATTGTCAAGGATTTAGCTCAGTGGCACAAGTGCCAGCTTGGCAAGTGCAAGGCTGTGAATTCAATCCCTGGTATCAAAAAAGTAATTTATTTAGGTTTTATTTTTGTGCCAGGGACGGAACACACGATCTCGTGTTTACCAAGCAAGCACTTACACTGTTGAACTAAACCCCCAGCCACTATTTAGGTCTTTTTTGAGACAAGGTCTTGCAGTGCAGTCTGGCCGAGCTCACTTTGTAGCCCAGGCCGGTCTCAGACTTGCAATGATCCTCCTGCCTCAGCCTCCTGAGTACTGGGTTTACAGGCATGCGCCACCATGCCTGGCTGAGATGCTCCTTTTTAATTTTTCTGTTTTTAATGTATTAGCTATATCCACAGCCCTGTTATATTTAAATTTGAGTCCGAGGGGGCTGGGAGTTTAGCTCAGCGGTATACACGCCTGCCTTGCAAGCAGGCAGTCATGCGTTCAATCCCCAGTACTGATAAAAAGGAAAAAGACATAAAATAAATAAATAAAGTTGAGTCCGAATCTCCCTGCACTGCATAGGCTGACCTGGAACTTTCTGCATCAGCCTCTGAGTAGTTTGTATTACAGGTACCTGCCACTGCTCTCAGTTCTAATTCATTATTTTCTTGTGGACACCCAATTTCCCAACACCTCATTTGGAAAAGAGATCCTGGGACCAGGGATTTAGCTCAGCAGCATAAGTGTCTGACTGGCAAGTGCAAGGTCATGAGTTTGATTCCAGGTATCAGAAAAAGGAAAAGAAAAGAATTCTGCACGAGGAAAGGAAAACAAATTCCTTTCTGCATTATTGGTTTTGGCTCCTCTGCCAAAACCCTTTGCCCACATGTGGTGGTCTGTGTTTGTGCACTCTATTGCTCTCCGTGGGTGTACGGAGGGACTTTACCTTCCCTGTGAATGGGTGAGCTCCACTTCCTAGGCAAGTACTGTGCCACAGAAATTCGTCCCCAGTGTCCAGAGCAGACACCACTTCCAGGGAGAGAGTCCAGTGGTGCTGTCTACCAACCTGCTGCAGGAATACTAGTGCCAGAGCAGGGAGCCTTACATGTTGGATATGTTTAGTGAAAAGGTAACTCCAAGACAGGAAAGGACCCCCACGCCCGTAGCAAGAACTAGCACAGGTAGAGAGAGCTCCCCCCGAAACCCGCTTCCTGATGCCCGTGCGGCTGGGCACCGTGGCTTTCCAGCTCTTTCCCCTTTACTGACTGCTGGGAGCTCTCCATATGCCGCCTATTTGTTACTGAAACACATTGCTAAGGGTTCTGCTTTCTTATCTTGTCTTTTATGTGCTTTTACCAGACGTGTTTCTTGAAGATTTTTTTCTGGACCTTTTGCTCTGGTATAGATAATAAATTCAAAGGCCAGAAAGTTAAACAAAAGTCACAGAGATGAAACAGTTGAAAAATCCCTTTTCCACCCTTATCTTCTGGCTTTCTTCTATGATGTCAGGTCCTTTTTGTATCATCTTTTCTGATCAGTTCTTCCTTTCCTCTGTTACTTATTTCAGAACAGTTTTAAATAGTACTGAAATATTTGAAATATTGGATGTACCTCACACAAAATCTACCCTACAATGACATTTTATACTAGTTTGGTACATTTGTTAGGATGAATGTGCCGCTATTGGTAGACACATTATTTTTTTATTTGGTAGACACATTATTAACTAAAGTTCCCAGCTGATTCAGATAGCTTTGGTTTCTCCAGGATGTCATTTTTCTGATCCTGAGTCTAATCCAGGATATCACATTACATTTAGCTTCCTGCCCTGCCTCAGGCCTCCTGGCCATGCCAATAGCTCAGGCTTTGTTTTTGATGTTCTTAACCATTGTGATTACTGGTTAGATATTTGTAAAAATCTCTCTCCTTAATGACTTTAAAACACTTACCTATAATTCAGATAGACAAAATTTCACACTTTTCATTCTTTTCCTGTTGTGCTACAGACTGAATGCACACACCAGCATACTTTACCACTCAGCTATGTGCTGAGACCAGAATTCACAGTTTTAAATCACACAGTGCTTTAGTATATGGATAGTGTTTTTGGACCATCCTTATAGCTGGGCTTTGTCGCACATGCCTGTGATCCCAGTGTGCTGGATGCTGAGGCAGGAGAATCATCATGAATACAAGGCCAGTTTTGGCTACATAGTGAGACCTCGCTTAAAAAAAAGAAGAAGAAGAAAGCCACCTCATAACCATTAGCAATCACTCCTTATTTGCTGTTTTTCCATCCCCTGAGAATGATTAAAACACTTTTTGTCTGTGTGGGTCAACCTATTTTAAACATTTTGTATAAATGAAGTGAACTGGGGCTTGCATTTTTCACTTAGCATATATTCACAGTACATTCACATTGTTTTACACAAATATAGCATATTTATCTTTCTTTATTGAGGCAGGGTCTCACTATTGTAATGCACAATGCCCTTGACCTTTATGTATCTCAGGCTAGCCTCAAATTCATGGCAATCTTCCTGTCTCAGCCTCCCAAGTGCTGGGTATTTATCCTTTTATCAGTTCATGGATTACTGAAGTATTTCTAAATTTTGATTATTATGAATAAGGCTTCTCTGGAATTTCATGTACATGTTTTTGCATGGATGTGTTTTTTTCTTTTCATTTGGGAATATTAATATCAATTGTAGTTCTTATGCTGACTGAATTTTATTTTTAACCTTGCCAAACTATTTTAAAGTAGGTGTAATTTCATAATTCTGTTAGAATGTATGAAGGGTTCAATTTCTAGCTTTTTAATTTCCTCCACAATTACAATGAATCCTTCTGTCTCTGTCTCTGTCTGTCTCTTTCTGTCTCTCTGTCTCTCTGTCTCCCTCCCTCCCTCGCGTCTATCTGTTTTGTTTTGTGGCTGAGCCTAAAACCCAAGGTCCTATGCAGACCACAGAAATATGCTAGATGCTCCAGGCATGCTCATGCCCCTCTGTAATCCCTGCACTCAAGAGACTGAGGCAGGAGACTCACCTCCAATCTGAGGCCAGTCTGGGCTACACTGTGAGTGCAAGTGTGAACTGTCTAGTGAGATCCAGTCTCAAAACCCACCCCCCAGTGAAAAGGGAGGAGAGGTATGCTAACCCTGAGCTTTGCCCCCACACCCCTCTGTTATTATTTTTTTGAATTCGACCCTAGGAGTATCTCATCATGCTTTTCATGTGTTTTCCCCTGAAGACACGGATGATATGTATCTTTTCTTGGGCTGATTGGCCATTTATTTACATAAGGTCTTGCTGTGTAATTCAGGCTAGCCTGGAACTTTCTATGGAGCTCAGGCTGGCCTTCCTACTGCACCCCCACACCAGAGGTTAAATTCCTCCTTTTCAGGGGACTCTGAGACCCGATCTAGTAAAAGGCTGAAGTCATTGTTCTTTTGTTTCTGCTTTATGGTACGGGGGATTTCCTGGGTATTTGTAAAGCTTTTGTTTTGATAGATGGTCATTTAAATTCTGGGACCACTTGAAAAAAACAGGAAGTCTTTTTGATAATTCTTTGCTTATTCTAGACATGAATAATACTATAGCCCAAGAACTTTATGAGTGGCAAATACTTTCTCCCATCCTGATTTTTGTCTTTTTACTTCCTATAAAATGTCCTTTGAAGAGCCACTGTTTTTATGTTTCCTTTTCTTTTGAAGGGATGGCCTCACCATGCATAGTTCACTCTGGCTGGCATTGAATGCCCTGTGGAGCCCAGGCTGGCCTCAATTCTCAGGGTGCCTCTAGGCTCAGACTCCAGATTACTGAGATTACGAACCTGCACCTCCAGGCCTGGCAAGCACAACTTCTTTTACCTGTGATGCAATCCAATTTATTTATTATTTTTGGTTGCTTGTGTCTGAAAAATCATTGTCTCATCCTAGTTCCTAACAATATACATTTTGGTTTCTAAGTGATTTATATTTTAAGCTGTTCAGGTAAGACCCATTTTAAAAAGTCACTGTTGTATATTTGGGGATGTAGAGGTTCTGATCAGTTTGCAAATGGTTCAGTCTGTATTGTGTGGAGATTCACTTCACACTTGGTATCCTTTAAACTCATTTTTAAGCATATGGCCTGGGGTAAAAGGTTTACTTGGGAAACAACACAATAGCTAGATGATACAGCAGGACCTTGCATCATTTTTATGGCAAAATATACTGGCAAAAATCGCCTTTTCTGTATCTTTTTACTCTCAAATTGAAGAATAGCATGAACTGCATAGTAAGATCCTGTCTCAAAAAAAAAAAAAACCAAAAAGTCGAAAGAAAAGAAGCCCCCCACCCTCGCAAGAAAAAAGACCCCAGACCTGTTATGGGACTCAAGTTTTTCTCTTTGAAGAAATCAGTGCAGTTGACTTTGGACCACATGTAAGGCTCAGGGCACCCATGATGCTCTTCTTACAGTCCAAAGGTCATTTCTTAAGTCAGTAGAGCGCACACGAGATTATGAGGAAGGGAGTCATAATTATAACAGGGAGATGAGCAGAGTACGACACAGAGGTCTAAAGCACAAGATGATCAAGTACAGTGGAGCCAGGGATTCCATATAATTGTACTGGGGTACTATGTATATTTTAATGACAAAAGAATATCATGATCTGTGATGAAGTTCAAAGCCCTAAAATGAAATAAAAGGTAGAAACAATTCTCTGTCACATCCAAGGAGAACCCGAGGCAGGATTATATGCGCACAGTTGGGGTGCCTTGGGGTGAAAAGGGACATTGGGAAAAGCTGGGGAAATTCAGTAAGACCAGAGAACAAGGGTGAGAATAAGCATTGCCCAGGTCTTACTTCAGCTGAAAGTCGATTGTAATATTCCTTGCAATTCTGAGAGCCAGCGCCTTTCTACACTGTTCACAGTGTGTATCAGGCCCCGTTCTAAATTTGTTTCTTGCTTCATTTGTTTCTCAAAAACTCGTGTGATATACACACAATCCTTTTAACTTTGCAGAGAAGGAAAGCAGTGGTCAAAATTAAGTGACATGGCCAAGTAAAAGCACAGCCTCGGACCACAGAATTCCAATCAAAGGAGTCAGCATCTCATTGCAGTTTCCTCGTTATGGAGGTGAGTATCTTTCATAATTTGTCAATATAAAAACAAACATTTACATACTATGCTTTCAAAGTTTAATTTCACGTTTTGCTTTCTACTGGCTTCCCACAGCAGAGTAAATTTTCATGTTGCTTTATACAAATATATGAAAAGGACATACTGGAAATTGCAAGTTTTTCTGTAAACCAAAAATGATTGGATTCTGAGTGTTTTTCAAGCTTGGGTTGAGTCCTGGCCTCACCTCTTCCAGGCAAGCACTCCGCCAGTGCCCTCCACCATCAGTTCCAATGCAGAGACCGTTTGCACGGTTGCAGCGAGGCCGGCGGGGTCTGGCGTGGAGTGGGAGGAGCGGCCGCGGCCGGTGCGTTTGCGGGGCCAGGAGCTCGCATGCGTGCGTGCAGCCTGCGGGCCACCGCGGAGGACTCAGCTCGCTGGCTGAACGGGGAGCCCAGGCCGAGGCCTCGGCTCCGCCGCCCGGGCTGAGCTCGGAGCATCGGGCTGGCTCCCTTGCCGCGGCTTCGCGCCGGAACCTTGCCGTGCCGCGGGGGTGGGATTCGGGCTGGGGTTCCCAGGGAGGTATGCATGCGGGCTGAGACCCGTGTCCCCAGGACGAGGGGCCCTAGAACTGGCTCCCCTTAGAGGCTGGGTTTTTTTTTGGTTGCAGAATATATTTATTGAGAGAAAGAAAGCTTCTATCCAAGAGAGAGAGAGACACAGCAGGCCCCAATGGGTTGCCCTAGACGTTTTATTCATTTATTTATTTTTGAACAGGAAAGTTTTTTTTTTTTTTTAAAAAAACATTTTATTCAAACATAAAAAGAAAGAAAAAAAGAAGAAAATACCACAACAAAATTGTAAAGTACGCCAGTCAGGAGGAGCAATGGGACAGACATTGCCCGTGGGCCCCTGATGTTTTAAAGCTGTATCCAAAGCTGCTTTGCGTTTTGGGCTTTCCTGTTTTATCTTGCTATGCGCAACCCAGCTCCTCACTTCACAGCAGGGTCTGTAGCTCCTTGCGGTGCAGCCACCCCAGCCCACCCCGTCACATGTGGCCTCTGATTTCTGCTTTCCAGATGTGATGACTTCACTGTTATGCTGACATCCATGAAGACTTGAGGGTCCTCCTCAGTCTCCCTCTCTTTTGCTCCCCCTTTTCAGGCTGTCCTGGAACTCCCCTCCCCAGGTAGCCCTGCCTGGCCTCCAAGCAGAGTGCTGGCGTTACATGTGTGTGCCATGACACCTAGCCTTAGATGAATTTTTACATTATTGCTTCTGATATTTTTTATCTTTTACTATTTATGCGTGTTGGTTTCTGAGCAAGGGACCTTAAAAGTTTTTTTGAAACTTTATAAGTTTGTTTCCTTAAAGGAATTCATCATAGGCATTAAGATCTTTGAATAAAAATTGCTCCTGGCACTTAGAGTTACCTTGTTCTCCTGTTTGGGGCAGTGTGGCAGTTTCCAGTTTCTTTTTGTGTGTGTGTGTGTTTTTCCTTTTTATCATTACCAGAGATCGAACTCACGACTGCCTGCTTGCAAGGCAGGCGCTTATGTGCTGAGCTAAACCTCCAACCCCTTAGTCTCCAGTTTCTAAGGAGGGCCTACAGAATTTTCCCTTACCACCCACTGTGTTAAGGCAAGACAGCATTTGTCAAGCAGGTATGGCAATCCTGGCTACCTGTTGCTGGCTGGCGCACCTGGCAGTTCCCCGAATCTGACAGCACAGTGCAACACCTTTCACTTGTCAGAGGGAGAGACTGAAATCATTCATTGCTTTTGCTAAACCAAAATTATGGGGGAAAAGACAAAATAATTTTGAATATTGCTTGAAAGAATTGCAACTTACCTGTTAAAACTAATTTCAACTGGACATGGGAGCACATATCTGTAATTCCAGTACTCCTCAGGCTGGGGCAAGAGGACCTTGGGGAGTTGGAGGCCAGTCTGGGCTACAAAATGAGTTCGAGGCCGGCCTCAATTTCATGGAAAGACCTTGTCTCAAAACAACAACAACAAAATTTAAAATACTAATTACCATTAATTTGTTTCTTCCAAAGTTATAAAGGCAAATACTGCTTTCCTTAAAACTTCAAAGAAAAAAAAGGAGAAAATAGAAGGGGAGAAGAAAAGAAACTGGAAAGATAATTTAAGAGAGGAAGGGTACAATGGGCTAACAAAAGTGTTAGGGAGGCTGGGTATCAGACAGGTGATATACACATGAAAATGTCACAATGAAATTCATTAGTTTGCACAGTTTCCATGGGTAAATAATTAAATAAAAATTCAGTTGTCAATTTTATGGGTACTTTAGGATGTATATGTGCTTGCATCTTAATGTAAAATGCTAGAATAACTTGTCATATGTAAAGTTTATCTTTGGCAAGTTATTGTTGACCTTTGATTGATTTAAATTTTTTTTTGTCTTTTTCCTTTTTTATCGGTACCAGGGATCAAACTCATGACTGCCTGCTTGCAAGGCAGGCGCTTATGCCGCTGAGCTAAATTCCCAGCCCCAATTGATTTAAATTTTTACTGAGTGTCTGTGTACTTTATAGCTCTCTCTTTTTTTGTTGGCACTGGGACTGAAACTCAGGACCTTGTGCTCACCAGGCAGGCACTTATCCCAGCCTCCTTTTTGTCTTTTTTGAGACAGGGTTTCATTATGCTGTGCAGGCTGGCCTTAAACTCCCTTCATAGTCCAAGCTGGCCCGGAGCTCACAGCAAGCCTCCTGCCTTAGCCTCCCCAGTGCTGGGATTATGGGTGTGTGCCACCAGATCTAGCTCAGTACTAGGTCTTTTTGGAATTTCCTGTGATTAAGGGTGAAAGTTAGACCCCTATGCTGGTATTAAAGGAAAGATGTTACTTTGTAGCCTGGTTTAGTAACAGAATTTATAGTGTCACCTTGTTCTCTCCTTGAATCTGCTCAGAGCTTCCTTGTAATACTTCCCCATTTACATCTTTATTATCCTCCTTTTTTGCTCTTGTAATGTTTATTCTCCAGTTTCACATTTAAGTTATAATGGCTTCTAAGTTAATCTGTTTCATTTGTTATCCTGCTCACTTAGTTTTAGGGAAAATACTTGATATAAATGGATTGATTGCAAGTGCACGGCCTCAGGGCCTGTTTAGCTCAGTAGTTTCTAGTGCCAGCCCAGTAAGCTTGAAGTCACTGGATCCCCGCTACCAAAAAATAAAAACAGGGCCAGGAATGCAGCAGCGCAGGCCTGACTGGCTAGCTGGCTAGCATGGGCCCTGAGTTTGACTGTCATTGCTACCAAAATAAAGCAAGTGCACTCCCACTGTGAGAAGTCAGTGGAGGCCGCAATCTTGTTTCCTCCGGTGGGTAACTATGGCCCCTGTGCCTTCCTGTCTTTCTCTCCATTTTCTTGGCTCAGAGCCGGGAAGCTTAATGTGGGTTACAGGCAGCCCCTAAGTGGATCATACGTGGAGGCGCCTTTCCTCATACAGTCTGAACAGTATGTGGGCATTCATGTCCTCTTGGTAGATCTGGGGAGGTTTCACCTTGGAAATTAGAGATTTTTCTTTTGTTAGTAAAGTGTAGATTGTTGGAATTTTGTATGATCTTTTATTTTTTCTTTATTCTTGATATTTTAATAAACTTTGGGTGTTTTTTGAGACAAGGTCTTGCTGTACGGTTCAGGTCTTGAGATCACTATGAAGCCCAGGCTGGCCTCGAATTTGGTAATCCTGAGTGCTGAGATTACAAGTGTGCACCACCACACCAGGCCAAGCTCTTCAATACATTTTTGATGTAAAGCATATTAAATGCATGTAAGTATTTAATTGAGTGTTCCCATTAGCTTTAGTCAGTTTCTTTGTTTCTTTTTTTTATCAGTACCGAGGACTGAACTCACGACCTGCGCTTGCAAGGTAGGCACTTACGCTGCTGAGCTAAATCCCTAGCCCCTTGTCAGTTTATTTTCAGAATAGAAAAGTGTTTTGTGGGGGCTGGGGATCCCTGGTACCAATAAAAACGAAAAAGACAAAAAAAAAGAAAAAGAAAAATGTTTTGTGGGTTGGGATGGATTTAACTCAGTGGCAAAGCTCCTGCCTGGCAAATACAGGGTCCTTAGTTCAATTCCTGGTACCCAAAACAAACAGACTTTTTGGAGTTTTTTTTTTTGAGGCAGGACCTTGATATCTAGCTCAGGGTGGCCTTGGACGTACTATGTAGCCCAGGCCGACAGCAGTGCTCTCACCTCAGCCTCCTGAGTGCCGGGGTCATAGAACTATGCCACCACACTCTTTAGAATATCTTAATGGCTTGATTCGGGAGCAGTTATTATGGGCATACCACTTCAGTTTTTCCTTAGCTGATTAATTTTGTGTCATTTTTGTTTTGGGGAAAGTGCAATGATTGAAAAATACTGTGATGCTTAAATTAAAACTTATTAAAACCTAACCACATTGCCAAGATTCACGGGATAAGGGGGAATGTTTTGAATGAGTTTTTTGAGGTAGATTAATGACAGATTAGTGACACACTGTCATTGATTATATTTAAAAATATAATCAATTTTTAAATTTAAATATTTAAGCCGGGCACAGTGGTGTGTGCCTGTAATTCCAGCACTTGGGAAGCTGAGGCAGGAGAATTGTTGTGAGTTTGAGACCAGCCTGGGCTACAAAGTGAGCTGAAGGGCAGCCAGAATTGCATGGAGACTCTGTCTCAAAAAAGACAAAATAAATAAATATATTTTGATCACAACATGTAAGTGCTTCTATGTGCACAGGAGAGAACCAGAAAGCCAGAACATACTGGAAATTTTTGGGGGGGCCAGTGAGGGACTAAGAATGGAAAATAGGGTTTTTCATGAATGCAAATAATTTTTAGGGGAAATCTAGGATTTTGGGGAAATGTACAGTGGCTTGAACCCAAGTCCATTACTCTCACAGATTAAAGAATGGATTGTAAATGCTTTTTTGGGGGGGGGGCTTGGGATTTAGCTCAGCGGCATAAGCACCTGCCCTGTAAGCAGGTGGTCCTGAGTTCAATCCCTGGTACCAGAAAAAAAAATGCTTTTCTTTGGAACGGTCCTGGTCTACCAGCAGACTGCAAGCTTTTTTTTTGTGCTGCTGGTTTAATGAAACTTCAGGGTAGGGATAGGATGTGATTATGCTCTAGCTTAGACATCCGGAGGGTGCTTCGGTGTATCAGAGGGCACCTTCTCACCTGTTCTGCTCTGTGAATTCATTTGATGCCAAACACTTGGTTGCCCAGGTTATCTTGTTACTTTCAGTTTGCAGGGTTATAGTAGCCAACTTCCCACTTTCAGGGAAGAGAGGTTTATTTTGGCTTATAGTTTGTAGACCTTTCAGTCCATAACTAGCTGGATTTGAGGCAAGGCAGCATGGCAAAGGGCATGGCAGAAGACAATTGCTCCTCTATGCTTGGCAGTCCAGAGCAACAAGGGGAGGCTGAGCCCGACCCTGCCAGGCCAGGGCCCCAGTGACCCGCTTGGACAAGCCCTCATCCCAGAATTAAACTATAACTCATCAGCAGACTCATCTAATGCTGAGTATCACACTGTCTTGTCCCGGTCATCAACCAAAAGTGCACTTATGATCACATAAGGACCTACGGCAACTTCTAGATATAACCCATGATAACAGGAATCATAATAACAGGAGCCAGATTCAGTAGTGCATGGCTATAATCCCAGCACTAAAGAGGTTGAGGCAGGATTGCTGAGTTCAAGGCCAGTCTGGGCTGCATAGCTCCTGGTTAGCCTGGAATGAGACAGTGAGACCCCGTCTCAACAATCAAAACATAAATACAATGCTGTAACATCAGGTCACCGTATCTACAGTTACAATCCCTGGAGTCATTGAATAGCATAATGGTCATAAGCCACTGCACTGCAGCTGTAGTGCTAGACTGATTCTGATTCCATCACTTGGGAGATGTATAACTTTATGCTTGGGTTTCTTCCTCTTCTTCCTCTTCTCCTCTCCCTTCTTGCTTTTTTCACATAGGATGTTTTCCTGTAGTGCAGGCTGCCCTTGAACTCACAGCAGTCTTCCTGCACAGCCTCCTGAGTTTTAGGATTGCAGATGTGAGTCACCAGCCCAGCTGAAGCTGGTTCTTCATTTCTGGAGGCTTGTTTGCTAGAATGTAAATGGGTTGGAGTTGGACGCTAACTCACACGGTTAAAGCACATGGACTAATGTTAAAACAGCCAGACAAAAGCACAGAGTGCAGGCCCTGTATTTCTACAGAAAATAAGTGAAAAGCAGCTCAGAATTGTAGATTTCATGCAATTTATTCTCTCTCCTTTTACTTTGACCTGACTCTTCTCTGACATCGCTGCCTGTGCCTGTCTACCTCTACCTCTGGCTCTCCCTCCATGATCTGCCTGGAGATGACTGCAGAGCGTCATTCCTGCAAGGCCGGGCCTCTGTCACTGAGCTGCATCTCCAGAGATTATTCAATCTTTATGGTTTTCTGCTTCTGAATTTTGTCATAAAAAGTACTTTATTCCTGCTAAACCTTATTTCTTAATTCTGCCTTCCTCTCCCATCCATGAACCTTTGATTGACTGGTTGTTGGTGCCATGATCAACTTCACCACCTTGTGCTTGCTGGCCAGATGCTTATTGCCCGCTGAGCTAAATCCCTGGGTCCGCCATGAACCTTTAGATGTTAAACTATCTCACCTGTGAGGCTGGGGATTTGGCTCACTGAAAAAAGAGCCTGCCTGGAGAGTATGAGGTTGTGCATTCAATCCCTGGCACTAAAACAATCTCACCTGTGACTAAAGTTGTTTTCCTTTGTTTTTATTGTTGCTGTTGTGCTCATGGGGATTGCACCCAAGCCCTCAGGCTGACTTGCCTTCCCATCCTCTGTGACAGTGTTTTTGAGGCAGGGTCTATGTAAGTCACTGACTTGCCCAGCCTGGGCTGGAACCAGCAGCTTCCTAGTTAGCCTCCCAGGGTGCTGGGATTAGGGCAGTAGACCATATCCCCAGCCTCTTTACTTTTAACTCCGTTTTTTAATGTCTTTTTTGCCAAACATGCTTCTTGGAAAACTTTTTCCATGCCATTTTCCTGTTTGTTTATTTAGCATCGTTCACAAATTCACATGACAGAATGTTAACCAAACTTGATGTGGCATGTACAGGGGACTCTGCCATCCCAGTCTGGCCTCTAGCTTTCTCCTCTCTGGCCAGGTCCTTTGTGTATTGCTTCTCCGGCCTATTTTGCATTTCTCTCCTCTAAACTGTTTTATTTCAGAACAGTTTCTCATTTGCAGAGTTATTTAAAATATTCTGATGTACCATACATACATTTGCTGGAATATTAATTGCTATGTTAGTCTGGTATATTTGTTACAATTAATGTGTCAGTGTCATCAGAACATTACCGTCTACTAAAATTTATAGTTGATTCAGATATTTTTAGTTTCTCCAAAATGCCCTTTTCTGTTCTGGAATCTCATTGTAGCCTATCACAGGACATTTAGTTTCTCCTCTGTATCAAGTCCATTAGGCTGAGGTTTTTCCCCAGACAGGGTATCATTCCATAGTTTAGGCTGGCCTTGGACTCACTATGTAATCCAGCCTGTCCTGGAGCTCCAGGCAATCCTAATGCTTTGGCCTTTCCAGTGCTGTTCACAATTTATTTTTTATGTTCTAAAATGTTGAGATTACTGGGCACAATTTTTTGAGACAGGGTCTCACTGTGCAGTTAAGGCTGGCCTCAAGTTCACTGTGTAGCCAGGTTGGCCTCAAACTCACGGTGAGCTTTCTGCCTCAGCCTCCCGAGTACTAGGATCATAGGCATGTGCCACCATGTCCAGCAGGGTCACATATTTATAAAAATCTTGGTGCTGGGGATTTAGCTCAGTGTTGTAAGCACTTGGCTGGCAAGAGTGAGGTCATGAGTTCAATCCCTAATATCAATCAATCAATCAATCAATCAAATCTCTCACAATTTGAAAACACTGAGCTGTCATCTTTTCATTCTTTCTTTATGGGGATAAAACCCAGGGCCTATATGTTGTACACGTGTGGTTTGCTGGTGAGCTATACCCCGAGGGCCAGTGTCCACGGTTTTAAATGACAAAGTTGAGTGTGCCTTAGGATATGAGCAGTGTTATTCAACCCTCTGCACTGTCTCCTCTACAGCATCTTCACTTGTAGTCACTCTGCATTTGGGCTTCCCCATTCCCTAACATATATTAGAGTGCTTTCCCTTTGTAGTCAGTGGTCTATCATGAATATTTCTATAAATGGAGTGAGATGATAGGGATTTTTCACTTAGTATAATGTTTACACAGTTCACTTAGATTGTAACACAAGTTATTACTTCATCTATATTTGCCCCTGAATGATACTGTTACATAGACATAACAATTTTATCTTTTTATCAATTCATGGGCATTAATAGTGTTTCCACTTTTTGACTTTGCATAAGGCTGTTTTAAAATGTTTTGATACAGGGTCTCACTGTGTAGTTCAGGCTCAGTATGTAGTTGAAACTGTCCTTGAATTGTCAGGAATCCTCCTGGCTCAGCCTCCTGAGTGCTGGCATTACAGATGTGTGCCACCACACTCAACTCTGCTTTGGAATTTCATGCACATATTTTTTGCACGAATATAAGTTCTTATGGTAACTTAATCATTAATATTTGTAGCATTATCAAAGTGTTTTAAAGTAGCTATACTCTCAGAAGTCGGGCAGCATGTTAGAAAAATTCAATGCTCAGTCTTCTCCAGATGCTCATGAACACATTCTGTTTAATTCGTATTGTTTTACAGTTTGGAGCAGAACCGGAGGGCCAGGCAGGGT